TGTATATATATGTATATGTATATGTATATATAATATATTAGTTATTATATATTGTTATGTCTGGATTACAGAAAGAAAACACGCCTATGCACCTAGCAGCAAGCAAAGGGCACGCAGAGATCCTACAGAAGATCCTAGAGACTGGTGTCAGTGTGGATAAAAGGAATATAGTAAGTATGATGATGAGCCTGTACGCTTAAAGGGGTATGTTCAGAAACATTTACGAATCCTTCTCTTTTGTACATGTTTATTCATTTTAAGCGGTGTAAATTACATTTTCTATCAGCCCATAGTGAAAAACCCATAATGACGATGTTAAAACGTGTCTTAGTAAATCTAGAATATTTCTTAAAAAACACAAACCAACATTTTTTTAAAACATGTCAGAAATACTACTCTCACTAGATGCGGAGAAGGCCTTTGACAGGTCGAGTAGGTTTCCTCTTCTCGACCCTGTCAAAGTTTGGCATAGGCCCTAATTATATTTCCCTTGCTAAGCTGCTTTACACAAAACCTCGGTTAACACAAATAATATAACTTCTAGTCCTTTCTCCCTCCACCGCTCTACAAGACAAGGGGGCCCTCTGTCCCCATTGCTATTTGCACTTGTCATAGAACCTCTCGCCATTCAATTACGCTCTACAAAGGATTATAAAGGAATAAGGAGATTTGGTGTAGATAATTTGTTACTATATATCACTGACCCTACTAAATCATTGCCAAAAATTCTGACAGTTTTAACTGAATTTGGGAAAATTTCTGGATACAAAATCAACCTAACAAAAAGCATATTGTTTCCTGTTAGTTCTTTAGAAAAGTTAGATAGCGCTACATTGACTTTGTTTCCTTTTACCGTCTCAAATACTTTCAAATATCTTGGAATAAATGTAACCCAAGAAAATAGACCAGTTAATCTCTCAGTTTATCTGGAACAAGAAGACACCCAGAATAAAAAAGATATTTCTCCAAAGAGCCAAGATTACAGGAGGAATGGGGTTGCCTTGCTTTCAGCTCTGTTATTGGGCCTGTAACATACGTTGTATGTCATTCTGGGGCGGGGAACATAGACCTGATTGGGAACGGATGGAAAGTTTGACTTTTTTCTCTAATACTCTTAAATCTTTGGTTCATTCAAACTCAGATCTGGGTGAGCATAAATGTAAAATAGTAGTATCTGACTCACTAAAAATTTGGTCTCAGATTAGAAAGCATTTTCATTGGCGTTAGTCAATCTTTAAGACTTTTCCCATAATTATTCTATCATTAATTAAGCAGAGATATAGAGATAAGTGTTGAACTTACATTTAGTAGATGTCCAGTGAAACCCTTTGTATGAGGTCCAAAGAGATGCTGACACAAGCGAAGGCTAAGATTTAACAAATTACAGAAATTGTAATTGCCAAAACACTTGTGTACCTAACTGTGTGTTGTGTTACAGACCAGAGCAGCCTTATGATGTCCAGAACCTTGAAGAAGGGTGAATCCTATCAATCAGTGGGTCCTGCCACTGAAGCATTTTTCTTGTTTTCTTTTTAGCCATCCACTCACCCATTCAGGGTCATTGATGGGCTGGAGCCTATCTCACCTCCATGGGGAGAGATGCAGGGTATACCTTGAACAGTCTGCCAATCTGTTACAGTGCTAACACAGAGAGGCAGACAACCATTTACACTTGGCATTGGGTAGCTGTTTACTGGAACACTTAATATGAGTTTTAAGGAGATGTTGATGAAGCAACAGAAGCCATCATTAAATGAAAAACTAAATAAACATATCAGAGAGAGATTAAAAAGTTTTATGAGGAGCCAAAATAACATTTGGGACATTTTCAACCAGAAGGAATATACTAGCCAGCTCAGACAGTTTACAACAAGGTGTACACCACTGGTTACGCTCAAGAACAGGAAGACCAGATTTGAATGTGCCAAAAAATACAAGAACTTTCACAGTATGGGGAAAAACTATTAGTTAGTAATGTTAGTTTATGTGGTTTCCTCAGTAAACTGGGTGAGGTAGCTGACTCCTAATCACAGCGATTTCTCTAGTTTCAAGTAGCCTGGCCCTTTGACCCAGGACCTGTTGGCCTTGCAAGACCCTTCTAAGCAAAAATGATTCCTACTCACCAAACTCTTGGGATCACTCAAGCATTTTGAACCTGAAAAAACACATTTCTTCATGCTTGTGAATAATAAGCTTTAAACTGTAAAAACCTTTGACCTTGATTGTACCTGTTGTATTGTGTTGTTGTAGGATGATCTCACACCATTGCACACGGCAGCTGACGGAGGTCACTATGAATGCGTTAGACTTCTGCTGGATTCTGGCTGTAATGTCAATGCACAAACTAATGTATGCTTGTTTACTTAAATATGCAATTCAAGAGTGGGTTGGCAGTGTTGTTTTCATGAATTAATATTTATCTTCTGTCTGTAGAGAAAAATGAATGCTCTCCATTATGTGGCACAGCATGGTCATGACAGAGAGGCCAGCTTGCTGCTGAAGGCAGGAATCAATGTAGATGCTATAAACAATGTAAGCACTGTTAGCTATCTCCGGAAAAAAATAATTATGATAATTCTTTTAAAGTACCCATATGGAAAAGAAATAGAAGAAATGTATAAAAGACTTGCATAAGATTTGGCTTACTTCATATAAGGCTTCTATGATTTACTCATGAAAGTGGCCACTTTCTCATTACTTTCATATATTGTTTTAGTAAGTATCCAAAACAAGTTTCATTTATATAATTTATCAAAGGATCTTATATCTGTTTTCACTCTTGTATGCTTTTCACACAAGTTTCACATAACACAAAGCTTTATAAGATTTATATATATCTTTTCCATATGGGTATTCTTACACAGTGGTATGTTAGCATGTTAGCATTTTGGTGCATAAAATGAAGAAGAAATCTAAAATTAGGCAGTAAACACTTGTAAACGTTTTAAAAGTTAATATCATAGAGAGCAGCTTTTTAATACCTGTTTCTCTTTGAAACAGCAACACTGCACACCACTCCACCTGGCTGTTTTCAACAATCACACAAAAGTTGTACGATTGCTTATCGATGCTGGCAGCAACCTGAATGCCACTGACATTGTAAGTACAAAGTTCCACAGCCACATGAACACAATGCATAATAAAATGTCCTATAATACAGTAATTTTACTTAATGGTTGTCTGTCATGTGGGCGACAGAGGCAGCAGACCGCACTACACATTGCCTCAGAACATGGCTGGCATGACCTGGCTGAGATGATGCTGATTTCTAGAGTTAGTCTCAGTCTAACTGATAAGGTACCACACACAGCTTCACACAGAATATTATGTACACTGCTCAAAACAATAAATGGAGTACTAAAGTCACACATCAGACCTTAAAAAATATTCATGTTAATTTGACGTACGTTTTGAAATTCATTGAAAACAAGAAGGGGTCAGGGGTCACAAAGGACAGTGAAAACCATAATCATCAGCCTTTTGAAGGCTGGTGGGTCCACATTGAAACGGCCGAAAACGCTTCCGTTCCAGTCCAGCGCATGCGTGAAACGCAAGAAGATTCGGCCTGCCTCATTTCCGTCTGCCATTTATTTACTTTTCCGGCTCTTTGAAATGTCGCGGCAAATGTTGAGGAAAAGCACCGAGTTTTTTAAATGGACCAACAATGAGCTGGAGTTGTTGCTGCGAGTAACACAAAAGTACAAAGTTGCAAAAGCGAGTGAGAGTTAAAGAATTTGAAGAAAAGCTCTCTGGAGCACGTACAGACTGATATTAATCTTTAATAGCGCTGTCAAACCTGAGAGCAAACAAAACAAACGCTGTATAATGCCCTCCGCTATCTTAGTTTGATTGGTCACATGACTGCATCACATCACTAAAATGTGTCATCGTTTTTGAAAAGGCTCAGGGTTCGCTGTCCACACTGCAACACAAAAACGGCTTTGGATAGCGTTTTCAAAACGCTGCGTTTTCCTTCACCGAAAACGGCGTCTCAGTGTGGACATGGCCACAGTGTAACCTGGATGTGCTGCAGGTACTCTCTCATCAAACCAGTACTGACGAGGATATCAATAAGCAATTCTAGGAGAGAATAATGGTCTGTCCCATCACCTGCAGAATCATTTACTTTATGGAGGTTGTCTTGGAACTGTAAGAGCAGTTTGGCGAGGAAGAACAGCTAGCAGGTCCAGTGAGCATGTGGTGTGGAGGTTAGCTGGATAACTCAAAGTCAGTCAGTTAAATCGAACAACACATTTATTTGATGTTAGCAACATAAGACCACACAAGCCAAGTCTCCACGGCTCTACTCTGTCCGTACGTACATGTGCGGAGATGGGTAGTCACCGGCGCCAGCCCGTTACAAAGGTATGGTTTCTCTCAGAACAGACACACAAGCATGTAATGGCTGCCACACTATACTCACACACCCACTACGAGACTCCCCCAACTACTACAGTAGTAGGGCAACCCCCTCTAGTGGTGCTATAACACAGTAAGGCTTGTCAAAAAAAGGTGAAATTAATTGATTCACTTACACTTCCGAAGACGACAGCTTGATATCCGTAAAGTTTAACTTGTGGTTGATGATCAAGTGTTCCTTTACTTTTTTGAGCTGTGTATTTCACATTGTACACTAACAAATAAAAACAGTTTTCAGTTGGTGCATTGATCCTTCTATATCATATTAATTAAGATCTTTGTCACGCTAGTCTTAAGTAGAATATTTATCTTTTTTCACACCACTTGAAACCTTGATGCGTAGTTCACTTTTTCTCTGTCCAGACAAAGTTAATCTTGTAGCACAGCATCATGATAACTGTTTTAGTATAGATTCAGATCTATGACACTCATAGCTGTGTCTTCTAACAAAGCAATGCTTTTCTGGCCATCTAATGTACACAGCAGGGAAAAACATGTCTGGAAGTGGCAGCAAGAGGAAACCATGTCGTCCTGGTGGACATGATAATTAAAGCTGACCGTTTTTCTAAATGGGAGAAGGTAAGTGTTGCTAACGCTATATTAATACTAAATACACTCTCCTTATATGAAATCTGTGCTCATATTCGATAAATACATTTTCACTCTTTTCCAGCGTATCAGCACCCATGTCCTGTTGAGTTTTTCACATTATATACATATTAATTGTTTTGGATTTTGTAATAAAAAAAAAATCCTGGCATACAGGCATAGTTATAAAGAACGAGAACAACTCAGAGCATACACTAGGTCTCCAAGATAATTAAAACATAAGAAACCAGGAAGGGGCATGTAAAGGAATTTCTTTTACTTATGTATTAATCACATTATTTTATTGTATGATATCTTGGTGCCACTGGATTTTAACATGTCTCACACTCATACAGTAAGACAAATGGTGGGGGTCTAGTAAGGAAGTTGGGGGAAGCAGACGACTCCACAGGAAGAGTCTTTTGTCTCTTCGAGGACTCTGGGAGGCAGCAAGGGAGTGTGAAGCTTAAGGTGTGACACAGCTGTGTACTGCCTTTTGTTCCTGGAGAAGGTATTTCACTGAGAGCCATGCTGGGCTCAGACTCTGCTGACCGTCTGTCCCGCGGTCATGCAGGGACTTCATCAAGCTTGGTTGTCTGTTCTTTGTGTGTTTGATCAAAGAACGTTAGCTACCGCTCACCGCTCGTCTGCAGCTTTATTTAAATGGAAAACTTCCACAACAGGCAAAAAAAAGCTTTTTGCTAAAAAAAAGATTCAGAGCAGAAGTTTTTTGCACTGCATTTTAAAATGAAAACATATTGCATTTATTTACAATTAAAGACACAGAGCAG